ATGCACAAACATAAAAACAAAGACTAGGAGTAGAATCTCTTAGGGAAACTATATGTATATGTATGTATGTATATATGTGTATATATGTATGTGTGTATATATCAATACCTATATATAATTATATCCAATGCTCAACTGTATTCTTGGGGTAGTGGGTAGGGGTGACAGGGGGGAAAAAGAACAAAGTAAAAAATGTACAACATAGAACAAAAGAAAACCTACAAGGAAGCAAAGATGAACAGCTTTCAGCACAATGAACAATATTTAATACATAGACTTTTCCTGAAATGAAAAATTATTGCTATGTAATTGGAATCCTCTCCTTTGTTCTACTATGCACATGACATTTTTTTGTTTTTTTCTTATATTTAAGTTTACAATGTTTCTTTCTCTTCTCTTACTATGTATTTAAGTTTTAGTATTTGTCTAAAATAAAAAAAGAATAAAAAAGAAATTGAGGGGATGCCTATCAATTGGGGAATGGCTAAACAATTTGTGGCATATGATTGTGATGGAATTATTGCGGTATAAGAAATGATGAGCAAGATGATTTCAGAAAAACCTGGGAAGTATGAACTCATGCAAAGTGAAGTGAGCAGAACCAGGAGAACATGAGTACAGAGTAATAGCAATATTGTAAGTATTATCAACTTTGAAAGACTTAGCTTCTCTGATCAAGACAAAGATCCAATACAATTCTAGAGCATACATGATGAAAAATGCTATCCACCTCCAGAGAGAGAACTGATGGACTCTGAATGCAGATTGAAGTTTACTTTTTAAACACTATTTTTATTATTTTATTTTGGTTGTGTTTTCTTTCGCAACATGGCTAAATATCTTTTTTACAACTTCACATATATAATCTATATCAAATGCTTGCCTTCTCAAGGAAAGAGGAGGAGTGGGATGAAAAGAGAGAAATTGAAACTCAAACTTTTAGAAAATGTTAAAAAAAATTTTTACATGTAATTGGAAAATATTTAAGAAAATAAAAACAATTTAAAAAAGAAAAAGTTTAGATCAAATATTGAAATTTAATAAAGATAAATGTAAAGTTTTCATTTGCACTAAAACAAATTAACTTTAGGATGGATATAATGAATGAAGTAGAGTCAACAACCACTCATGGTAAAAAGATGTGGAAGTTTTCAAAAACTGATCATTTAATATGAGTCAGTAGTGGAATATGACAGCCAAAACCTAATGGGATCTTAGGCTACATATTGAGGGCTTTGGTTCAATCTACATTTATGTGTTGTTTCAATAAAGAATTACATTTTTATTAAAGATAAAAAGACTGAAGAATTAATGATTCTAACCTCCTCTGTAGTTAACCTATGGATGAAACCTGTTAATTGGGACAAGATCAAGCTCACTTCTGACCAAATGATTTAAGTGTACCCCTCATTGCAAGTTTGCTTCCTTTGAGTCATCACCATCAGGGCACCAAGAAGGCAAAAGTAGAATGGGATTTAGGTAGGCAGGGGTTAATCTGAGGTAGTGAGAAACTGTAGGAAGCATGAAAGAAGAGAGGCAGTTGACTTAGAAGACAAAATTTCTGAGGCCTGCCATCCTTGTGCCCAGCACTGATGGCCATATAACTTTATATTAGACAGAGTAGGATACCATTAATTTTCTCCTTTTCCCCTTAGTCCCAAAGGAACAAACTATGCCTGAGGTCTTGAGGAATAATCACCTCAAGAGTGTATAAGTGTATAAGTAAATTTAGGAGTTATCTTTTAAAACCAATAAAAGAGAAATGGTTAGTGGTCAAATTTAGAAAATGAAAGCCATGTTCCTATCAAAAATTAAGATGGATAATTCAGAACAAGAGAAGAGAAAACAGGAAATCACCAGGCTTGTTTGCCTAATTACATGCCAACAAAACTAATAACTTTGATGAAATCAGTGAATAATTACAAAAATGTAACCACACAGATGAACAGAAGTGAGATAATTTAAATAATGTAAAAAAGAGAAAGAAATTGAAGAAGGCATCAAGAAAATTTTAAAGAGCAGAAAGGAATTACAGGATCAGATGGATTTATATATGGATTCATAAAATAAGTAATTTTAATAATATATGTAGAGAAGCCTTTATGTGTAGGAAAAAAGCCCAAATGTAGAGCCCTCCTCTCCCCCCACCCTCAACCACTCTGGCAAGGGCTGTTATGTGGCTACCTGAATCAAGGAGGCAGGATAGACACTCTAGTCTCTTTTCCACCTGCTCTTCTCCAAGGAACACTTTCATTCCTACCAGGTGAGGGAGGAGGAGGAAGTTAGGGGTCAGATAGAGGGGTTGGATAGAGGGATTACTGCACTAGAAGTTTATCTATCTGCTTCCTTAAATATTTTTAGTCTAGGTGATAGATTGGGTTTAACCTAATTTCTGATTGCTCTGTCTCATTATTATTGGGGGGAAGGGGCCCCAAGCTTTATATTCAAGGCTTGGCCTCTTTCCACTAAATACAAGTTCCACAATGAACACACATAGCAAATAGCAAAAAAAACCTATTTATCCAAGTAAGTAGCAAAATAGAAATCAGAGAAGGTATACATAGGATGATATATTTGAGATAACAGAGAGAAGGAACTTCTCCCCAACATATTTTTATTTCATTAAATATTTCTCAATTACATGTAGAAAAAATTAAACATTCATTTTCAAAAATTTTAAGCTCCAAATTCTCTCCCTCTTTCCCCTCCCCCTCCTTAAGAAGGCAAGCAATTTCATACAGATTACACATGTGAAGTCATGCAAAACTTATTTCCATATTAGCCATGTTGCAAAAGAAAACACTGACCAAAAACAACAATAGCAAAAGTAAAGTAAAAAAAAAAAGTATGTTTTAATCTACATTCAGACTCCATCACTTCTTTCTCTGGAGATGGAGAGCATTTTTCATCATAAGTCCCTCAGAATTATCTTGGACCATTGTATTGATCAGAATAGCTAAGTCATTCACAATTGATTATCCTTACAATATTGCTGTTACTGTGTACAGTGTTCTGTTGGTTCTGCTCACTTCACTTTACATGAGTTTATATCAGTCTTTCCAGATTTTTTTTCTCAAACCAGCAGGCTCATCATTTTTTTTTATAACAGAATAGTATTCCATCACAATCATATACCACAACTTGTTCAGCCATTCCCCAACTGACAGACATCCTTTCAATGTCAAAATTCAATTTTTGCTACCACAAAAAGATCTGCCATAAATATTTGTGCACATATAGGTCATTTTTGTTTTTCTTTGATCTCTTTGGGGTACAGACCTATTAATGGTACTGTTGGGTCAAAGGGTGTGCATATTTTTATAGTTAAGGAACTGTGTGATCGGGACCAAGGTAACAGCTCAACCAAGAGAGAATCTTGGATCTCACCTGAGGGGAAACTCCAAAGTCTCTAGTAGAGCAAGTTGGAGATAGGGACATGATGCAGAATTCCACTTACGTATTTTCAGGGTCTTTTCATTCAGCAACCTGAAGTGGGGTTGGCCCGTTCCAAAATCAGAATCACTTCAAAAAACTCAGTTTGAAGTCTCAAAGAAGACTGGAACTCTCTGCATTTGCCACCTCCAACCTGCCAGCCACATAGATTAGGGTCATCTCCATTAGTGAGGAAAAAAGTCCCATACCAATGGGCTTTGGGACAGGGGTTACCTATATAATCTGGTGGTAACAATAAGAAAAGAAAAGAAGGGAACCCCTTCAACTTTTTTTTTTTTTTTTTACTCTGGATGTGTCTGGTCTAAGAATGTCAGTACTTTTTCAGTAAGCCCTGCTACTCAATAACATTATTTGGCAAGAATTACATAGAAAATGCCTGTTGAAAGGAAAGACTTAATATACTTGTGTTCAAGTGTTCCAAATTAATAGCAAAACTCCCTCTGCCCACCCCAAAGGTTTGGAACTCTATGAAGAGTAGTTAGCAAAGTTCATGCCTTTCTTTGGGAGCACACAAGAGGGAAAAGGTGATTTTTAATAATTTTTTTAAAAAATTAAATAACTTTAAAAATTATATCCTTTGTTTTTACAATATCTTCATTTCTCCCAGTATCCCTCCCTATCACAGAGAGCCATATCATATAACAAAGAATATCTATTAAAGAAAAAGAAATACAAGAAGAGGAAAAAAATAGCAAAAGTGATCAATTTATCAAAAACAGTCTGAAAATATATGTGCTGTCCCACAATTGTGGACCTCCCACTTCTACAAAGGAATGGAAGGCTGTGTCTTCTCACATCTCTTTTTTGGTGCCTTTTTTTGATGTTAATTATGCAACATTAACTTAAATTTTTTTTTTAAATTTTCAGGAGGCAGGGATAGAAGGACAGAGAGGAGAGGAAGAAGAGGGGATGAATGGGCAGGCGGCTGAGGAGGATGAAGATGAAAGGAGGGAGAGGGGAAGAAGGGAAGGGGGGAAAAAGGGAAGAGGGGGGGCTGATGTGAAACTAAGGGGCTAGAAGAGGATCTCTTGGTCGGATTGGGCAGGCTGGAGAGGTTGAGTCTCAACTGTGGCGGGGCTCCTCGCTGGGCTCCCTCTTGAATGGGCACAAGCCTTCTTTACAACAGAAGTCCGACCAGAATCTCGTCCTCAGACCCCAGCCCCAGAGTCCACCCAATCCGTGGGCGTTCATAGCCCGTGAAAGCCTAGCTGTCTCTGGCCGGTGCTACTGCGCAGAGCAGCGCACGCCTTGTCGGGGAGGATGCACAGGGCAGCTTCCCCTCTAGAAGAGGGCGGAGAGGCTGCGCTAAGTTCTGGGTTTAGAGGACCCAAAGGGCTGGAGGTGGCGGGGCTAAGAGAAAAGGAGGGAGAAGCAAAGTCTCAAGGGAAGGGGGCGGGAGTTGGGGAAAGGAGTGGACGTGGTGGAGGGGCGGTGTCTAGATGGAAAGAGAGGAGAGTGGACGAGGTTAACTATAGGGGCGGAGCAGGGACCTGCTCCAAGTTCTAGGCAAGTTCCGGTGTACCATTAGCCCCAAGTCTGTACTACCACTTTCGTTTTCCGTCTTCCTGCCGCTAAACCGCCTTTGGGCTTGCGATGGCAGCAGAGCCCCTTCCTCCTACAGAGTGATCCCTAAACAGGAGCCCCCAGACCTGGACACGGTCTCCCTTAAGTGTTTCTAAGGATACAGCCTTGACCCTTCCATCCCTTCTGTGGACTCATCCCTTCCAGAAACCCACAGACTCAGAGACAGGCCTCCTGAAATCACCCCAGGGTAAGTGCTAAGTCCTGTTTCCTGCCCGCTCCCCTGCTCCAGCACACGCACTCTTCCATGTTAGAGCTCATACTAATTTGTCCACCCCTCTCCCAGTTGACACTGACTCCCTTGAACTCAAAGGAAATGTGTCCCGCCTTTCAGAGGTCACTTGGGTATGTTCCTCTCCCCAGAGGACATATGGGTCAATTTTCCCCTGCCTCATTGCTCTTTATTTCCCTTGGGCATATGTAGCAGTTTGGCACTCCCAGTTCAGAAGAATGGCTCTCCAGGGATCCCATGGGTCAGCCCTACCTCTGTAACAGCTCCTGCAGGTATACTGTTGATTGGTAGGCAAGCAGGAATGTAAAGGGTCTTCTCCACGTGGGGGCTCAGGGGTGTCTTGCCAGAATAAAGCCAAGGAATACTTCTTGGTCTCAATGTACCTCCTGAACCTTCCCTTCCTTCCCTCCTTTGAGTCCCAGGGACTTCTGTGTTCTACTTTGTCACCACCCATTCTCTCATTAGGGTTGGATTCCTCCAAGGCCACTCGCTGAAGGGAATTCAAGTTACTAGCTTCAATTCACCCCTAGGTTATTCTAGTGAACCTCCATCTATCCCTGTTGCCTCCACTCCCACTTGTCTCCCCCTTCTAAAATGCTCTGCAATCTGGTTTCTGATGTCATTCTACTGAAACTGCTCTCTTCAAAGTTACCAATGTTCTTTTCATTGACAAATCTAATAACCTTTTCTCTATCCTTCTCCTTTATGTCTCTGCAGTCTTTGCCACTATCAATCACTCTCTTCTCCCTAATACTCCATTCTCCACCTGTATGTTAATGCCAGAAACATGTTTAAAACAGAATTCCTTACACTCTCCTCTCCATCTCTCCTGCACTCATCTCTTCTTCCAAATTCCTTATTTCTATTAAGTTTACATCTTCCTTCTATTTACTCAGGTTTGCAACCTCATAGTCATCTCTGAGTCTTTGTTTTCAAAACCTTGCCTTCCACATCCAGTCAGTTGCTGTTATCTGTTTTTTTTCTTCCTATTTATATCCCCAGAGTTTGGCACAGTACTTTATGCATAAAAGGGGCTTAATAAATGTCTCATTCATTCATTTATTCCTTGATATTTCTACCTTTACAGGACAATTTGAGGAGGGACAGAATATTTTCCGCTGGGGGATCAAAAAGATGGCACCTGAAATGGTTCTTGTAGAAAGAGAAGGATTACAGCCAATGTAGGGAGAATGTTCAAGGTGTAGGGGTACTGCCTGGGCAAATACACAGAGGTGAGAGATGGCATGAAGATTGAGGTGTGCTAATAGCACAGTTTGGTTGCATGGGTGTGTAAAGGAGCGTCATATGAAATAAGACTAGAATGGAAGGGTGGTGCTAGACTGTGGAGGACCTTGAATGCCAGGCAAAGAAATTTGTATTTTAGACAGTAGATGTCCTGAAAATTTTTTGAACAGAAATGTGATATGATCAGATCTGTGTATCGTTAGTCAGTGAACAAGCATAATGCCTGTTAAATGCCTGTGCTAAGTACCAAGGATATAGAGAAAGGCGAAGACAATCTCTACCCTCAAGGAGGTCACTTTCTAATGGGGGAGATAGTATGTAAATATCTAGGGACACACAAAATGTATTGACAGAGTGGATAGAAGGCATTCTTAGAGAGAAGTGGCACAGAAACTAACAGAGTTTTGTCAAGATAACTTGCTGGTCATAGCAAACACTCTTTTTCAACAATCAAAAAAGCATCTTTACCCATGGACATCACCAGGTGGTCAGTATAAAAATCAGATTAATTATATGCTTTACAGCCAGAGATGGAGAAGCTCTGTACAACTCTATGTAAGAACTGAAACTGACTGTGGTTCAGATCATGAGTTTCTTATTGTAAAATTCAGACTTAAACTTAAGAAAATAGGGAAAACCACCAAACTGTAGAGGTAGAGGTATAACCTAAGTAATATCCCTTATGAATATGAAGTGAAAGTGATAAGTAGATTTAAGGTATTATATCTGTTAAAGTGCCTGAAGAACTCTGAACAGAGTTTGCAATGTTGTATTGGAGACATCAACAACAACACAAAATATTAAAAGAAAAAGAAGAGCAAGAAAGCAAAGTGGCTGTCTGTTGAGGCTTTATAAATAGCTGATGCACTATAGGTGTTTGGCCCACAAATAGCCTTCAGAGCACCCTAAAAATGCTTTGGATTGTTGCTATCAGCATAAAACTGAATTTCATCTGCCTTCTTACTGAGCCAAGAGTCCTACATCTCTCTAAGATTCACTTGTACTTTATTTTTGATGGAATTAAATGCTGCCTTCTTAGAGATGGATGAACTATCCTGCTGGTAAATGCTGTGGAGTTCTCATTTTTCATTTAGCAGCTTCTGAATTTTCCCATCATTTTTATCAAACCAGTCTTGATGCTTGAGAGTGTTCTGACCCAGGTGAGCAAATGTAGTACAAATCAGTGAAAGTTGCCTAATCCTTTTCTGCTCCACTGTTGCCAACTGTGGGTTGACTCAACTTTCCTTCCAAGTCAGCAACAAACTATTCCCACTCAGAGAAGAGCTCTAATCTGTTGACATTAATTCTTCTGGTGCTCATTTTGCCTTGGAGCCGCTGCTTTTGTTGAATGTGAATATTCAGCTTGGAGAGGATAAATCTGTGATCAGTTCAGCACTCTGTGCCACACAATGCCTTCATCACTCTCACATCATGTCTGTCTCCTCTCCTTACAATCATATAGACTCTTAAATGCCAATGTTTGCTGTGAGAATTCATCTACAAAGTTTTATTGCAGTTAGGTAAATGGATGACAGTGTTAATGATGAGAAGGTTATGAGATGCACAAGTCTTCAGTAGTAAGCGACTGTTGCTGTTGCTGTTTCCAACTTCATGCCTCCTAGGACTCCCTCCTAAATCTGGTAGTCTGAGCCTACACTAACGTTAAAGTCATCCAGAATGATAAGCTTAAACTCTTTTTGGCACATTGATGATAAGGGTCTCCAGGTCTTCATAAAATTTTTTGTTGACCTTATCAGGTTCATCATGGTGGGAGCCTAGGCACTGATGATGGTGGTGTGACATTTTCCTGTAAGTGGCAATTGTATTGTTATGAGTCTGTTGTTCACTCCTTTTGGGAGGCAAACAAGCTTGTTGGCTAGATTAGTTTTGATTGCAAAATCTACACCAGCTTCACAGTGCTCCCCTTCACTACAGCCACATTGATTATGGATAAGGACATGATCCAAGAGAGATGGGCTAAATGCTTCCATAGCATTCTCAACAGACAGTCATTAATTCATGCTGAAGCCATTGACTATTTATCTCAGGGTGAAGTCAATCCCTCCATAGCTGAAGTTCCAACTGAAGAAGAGGTTTTGAATGCCATTAGACTCCTTTTGTGTGGCAAAGCACCTGGTGCTGATTCTATTCCAGCTGAGATTTACAAAGTAGGGGTCCATTGCCATTCAAAAGCTGACTGAAATTTTCTGGGTTATATGGAAAGAGGAGGTTATTCCCCAAAAGTTCAAGGATGCCTCCATTATCCATCTCTCTAAATTTAAAGGAAATAGATTGTCCTGTGATAATCATAAGAGGGTATTTCTCTTAGTCATTGCTGGCAAGATTCTTGCTGGAGTCCTCCTTAATAGGCTGCTCCTTCACCTGGAAGATGGTCACCTACCTGAGAGCCAGTGTGACTTTAGAAAGGGCTGAGGAATGGTCGACATGGTGTTTGCTGCTCGACAACTCCAGGAGCAGAACAGAGGTCTGTAAACAGCATTTGTAGATCTGACCAAGGCCTTTGATGCAGTCAGTCATGAGGCTTATGGAAAATTATGTCAAAATTTGATTGCCCAGAGAAGTTCATTGGCATTGTGCATCAATTTCATGATCACATGCTTGCCTAGGTTCTATATAATGGACAATGCTCTCATGCTTTCCCAGTCACCAATGGAGCAAAGCAAGCCTGTGTGCTTTCTCCCATGCTTTTTAGCATAATGTTTTCAGCCATGTTGTTAAATGCCTTCAGTGAGGACAAACATGGCATCAGGGTCAGCTACCAGACAAATAGTTGAAGAAAGATGAAAAGCAAAAGGAAAAAGAGAAAGGGAAAGATACAGACAACTCAATGCAGAATTCCAGAGAATAGCAATGAGAGATGAGGAGATTTTCTCAAATGAGGAATGCTAAGAAATAGAAGAAAACAACAGAAGAGAATGATGAACAAATCTCTTCAAAAAATTAGAGCTATCAAGGAAGTGTTTCTTGCAAAAATGGGCACGATAAAAGACAAAAATAGCAGGGACTTAACAGAAGCAGAAGAGGTTAAGAAGAAGAGGCAAGAATACACAGAAGAACTGGTGTGGTTATTGATCTAGAGCCTGGAAAATGAAGTCAAGTGGGCCTTAAGAAGCATTGATAACAAGAGTAATGGAAGTGACAGAATTTAAGCTGAGCTATTTAAAATCCTAAAAGAGAAAGCTGTTAACGTGCTGTATTCAATATGCTAGCAAAATTGGAAAATTTAACAGTAGCCACTGGATTGGAAAAGATCAGATTATGTACTGATCCTAAAGAAAGGCAATGTCAAAGAATGTTCAAATTATCACAAAATTGTACTCATTTTATGTGCAAGTAATGTTATGCTTGAGATTCTGCAAGGTGGGTTTCAGCAATGTGTGAACTGAGAATTACAAGAAGAGAAAGCTAGTTTTCAAAGAGGTAGAGGAACAAGAAAACAAATTGCCAACATTCACTGGATTATGGAGAAAACAAGGGATTTTCAGAAAACAATCTACTTCTGCTTCATTGACTACACTAAAGCCTTTGGTTGTGGGGATCACTACAAAATGTTGCAAGTCATCAAAGAGATGGGAAGTACCAGATCATTTTACTTGTCTCCTGAAGAAGATGTATGCTGGTCAAGAAGCAACAGTTAGAACTGAAGATGCTACGACTGATTGGTTTAAAATTGGAAAAGGAGTACAATAAGG